CCCTGGCTGGGGAATCCTGGGAGTTGAAGTCCACCCATCTTCAAGAGGCCAAGGTTGAGCAACACTGCTCTGAATAGTGAAAGAACAGATTAAGAAGCATCTAGGAGGAATTCAGTTATTAAGTGATCACACTGCAATCCTTTCCCTGCTGTAGAAAGAATCCCGCTGAGATTAGCGCTCCCAGGGAGAGAGAGCAGGGTGGTACAATGCCACGTTCAATGCATTAATCTATTTATCTCCTCCTAATGAGCTGAACCCAGCAAGCCCCATCTCACTGACGGGTTTATTAGCCGTACGGCAATTCCGCTTTCATGCATCCTTAACGTTGCCGCCTGGCTCTTCGCCGATGGCAACGTCACGCCATCGCATTTGAACTGGCACGTTCGCCATCGCCAAGCTGCAAAGAAGGATCGTTGCAAACTGGAAGGTGGCAGACCCTTGTTGAAATAAATCTGCTAGAATTCTTGTAGGAGAGCTGCAATAAACTAGGGCCATGCTCCAATTGCATTTGGGGGACCCTTGGGGGTCCCCGAGACCCTTCCAGGGGCTCCGCAAAGTCAAATAAATACAGATTTTAACATTTCTGAGTTCTCATTTCTAACACAATACCTGCTGATAGATATCACCCCCATCGTCTTGAATTGTATATAGTCTTTTTATATAGAATTATTAATTTGAATATGGATTTTTATATGTTTATTAACTGTTTTGGGGTGAACCGTCCAGAGTCACCCTCTAGGGGAGATGGGCGGCATATAAATTTAATAAATAAATACAGTGACCATATGCCCTTTATTATAAATGATACTTCTTATATTTCAGAAAGCTGTCCATTGATTTCATTTAATTATTTACGCTCTTGGTTTTGCTCTGGAATTTCCCTGCGTAAAGCAAAGTTAGAAACATAAGCGAGGCTTATACATTTAATAAATAAATAAATGAATACAGTGACCACCTGCCCTTCGTTACAAATTATATGAATCGTATTCATTTCAGAAAGCTGTCCTTTCGATTGATTATTTACGTCCTTGGTTTTGCTCTTGAATTTTCCTTTGTCAAGCAAAGTTCTACACGTAAACCATTCAAAACATGTTCACTCCTTATGAATCTCTTTCAGATTTTTTCAAGTTTGTCCTTTATTTTTTTCTGAGAAACTGAGGTCACGGTACATCTAAGCTCTTGGAGGCCCTCAATCATTTTGAAGAATGAAAAGGGGTCCCGAGACCCAAATGTTGGAGAACCGCTGGTCTAGAGTAGCCAAAAAACAGGAATCTGGAATTTTTCCCGACTAACAGATGTTATTAAAAGGCAATGATGCAGCGCACTTTATCAGATGCAGACTGATTTAAACGAGGATTAGGTGGCAGGTTTCTTGAGACCTTCGGAGATAGCCTGAAAATTTTGATGTAGGTTAATTCAGCAATCTCGGGCTCAATTGCGCTGGCAAAGTTTCCCCTCCACCCTCGCCCCAAAACGGGTACTTGGAGGTCTGCAGAGGGGCCAAAATGCTGTAATATCACTTTGTTCTGCATCCTGATGTCAAAGTTGGGTTGGATGGTTAGGGAGAGAGAGAAAGCAGGGGTGTAAACAAGGTTTGTGAAGGTTTATGATCTGGGACAAAATTTCACAAGGCTAAGGAGGGGCCTGGATTCTGAAAAAAGGAAGCGGGGTGAAGAAGGGAAAAATACACACGAATTGGGGTTTGTAAGATTACCGAAGCCGAAATATCAGATCCTTAAAATCTGAAATAGCCACCAGGAGCAAAGGTAGGAACAAAACACGCACACTGGAAAGAGATGGTCGAGACCAGGGTAGTAAAAATTTGCATTGTGAGTTTGCAAGTTGGCACTGCAAGACCAGGACTTTTCCAGGATGATCTGGAAATTAAATAGGAATTTAATGCGGGTCGTGAAAGAGGAATTTTCTTGACGGCCCCTTTAAAATGCATCGGTCAGATGGCTCTTGCTTCCTAACTTCCACAAAGATGGAAGATTTGCAAGGCTGGCGGATCCTGCATCGCTGAAGGATTTGGGTCACGCGTAGATTCCGGTCGATCACTTTTTAATTTATGGGGGAGACGGCCAATCCAAAATGTTAGCCCTTTAAATATGCAGCTAGGCTGTTCGCATGTGCTTTTAAGTGCACGGAGAGGAAACAAGCTGCATAATTTAGTTCTGGAAATTTTTGGACTATGCATTGGATTAAAATCAACATTCTTTTGGTAACAGCGGATCCTTTAGGGATTCTTTTCCTATCGTATGTTTTTGTGGACCAGCTGCTTCTAGACACTTTCTTGGCATATTTAGCAGAAAAGAGGAGGAGGGAAGGGGGAAAAATAATCCCTTTTTTGTGTTGATGCTGTAGTTTACTTTGTTTGCTTGTAAGAACTTTTAAGAGCCATCGACTTTGGAAAAAAAAAAATTAGGGCCTGGTTTGGAAGCACAGAACTAATATACCATTTTCTCTTCCGTAGAAAAACCTCTGGAGGGAAAAAAACCTTTGTTTCTAAGGTGTTCTAACGTTTCTATGAAAGCATCTGTGTGTTTCTGAGATGCCTAGGCATAGCTCACAAAACCAACACCCGTCCTGCAGTTTGTACATTCACGACAAGTCGGTGCCGATAGACTGCCTCTAAACAGGAGGCTCGATTTAGGTGAAGATGGACGAACAGCTGCCAACAGAGCAAACCGGTCCACCGTAAAGTCATAACAACTGTTAGTCCGGACCAAAGATTCAAATTTGCTATTGCTAGCTTGCTGACGTTTCAACTTATTTACTTATCCACTTAGTTTTCTCTGCTAATATATCTGAGCAGCGGGCAGGCAGAGAAGCAGCAGGGTGCTGTGTTCTGGTTCTACCATTTTTGCAGAGTTCCTGCACCGTGCGCTCGCCTGCACGGGATTTCTGACCACCCCAGGCGACCCAGGAGGAGCTGAACCCCCATCCTTTTTCTAACCGCGCCCAAGCCGATCTCTTTGCAGCTAAAAGCCTTCATCTTATTTCAGAAAAAGTAAATTCCACTGAACTCGGCGTGCCTCGATCAGCCCTCTAGGATGAGAGTTGTAAAAGAATGAATTTTTAAATGATCTTGAGATAATTAAATAAAGGAGCGACTTGTACGGCAACAGAGGCTGCCGGGCACCGCGGCCCAAAACCTCAAACGCTCTTCGACCCTGAAAGATTGTCGCGACAAAACAAAAACACCCCACATTTGCACGGCTAATTTTAGCCCGTCGTTTTAATTTACGTTTTTATTACCTTTTTACAATTTCTGTTAGTGCTTAATGGAGTAGAATGGCAGGATATAAATCAAGTTAAAAAAAAACCCACACA